TGTGTGTGTGTGTGGGGGGGGGGGAGAGGGGAGCCCCGCCCTTCAGAAACAGCGGAGGGAATTTCAGGCGGGGCGCGGGGCCCTACAATGGTAGGGGAAACACTGTACACTATTCCGTTGTATTGGTTTTAATGCAATATTTCTTGTGTGCTGACACAGTTAGGAAAACAATGAGACAGGACAGTGTCATATGGGAGCACCTTAGACAGGAGAAATACTGTGACCCTGCTGAAGGGGAGCAAGGGCAGGAGGCTTAACATGTTGATGTAAAATATTTGTGTTGTACTCCTGTTATCACTTTAGAGCCCTTTTAGAACTTATAGGGTTATAATTTCAGCGCCCCACTCTCCATTGCGGTTTATGTTGAAAATAAAACAAAACTTTTCATAACCACAATATTTTTAACTGATTTAAATGTGAAAACTGGGGTTATTCATCAGAATTTCGTATGACTTGACTTGTGACTTGCTTGACCTGAGCAATAACTTGACTTGCTTGACTCTCACCACAGTGACTTGGGACTTGGTTGAGACTTGTAGGTTGAGACTTGCTCATGACTTGCACATGTATGACTTACTCCCACCTCTGTTGTGTTGCATAGTCTAGAACAGGGGTGGGGAACCTCCGGCCTCCGGGCCGTATGCGGTCATTTATAAACACACGCAAAAAAAAAGAAAATTAAGAAATCTAGACCGCAAAAAGAATTAAACAAGCGAGTGCCTGTTTTTCCTGGCCATGGTCAGGGTCCTTGAACACAACACGAGCCTAACGTGTCATCACGTGGTATATGTCTCGTTTGACAGGCGTGTAGTGCTGACGGAGAGCACCAGAACGCCACTCCAGCACTTCAAAAATTGCAGTACGCATAAGGAGCCGTTCACATGCCGCAGTTTTTTCGTGGCTCCTGACAGACTGAGAGGCTGATAACCTCAGCTCAGTGAGGTAAAGGCACACCTTTAAATGATCATTCAGGGTGTATGCAGAATCCTGAAGTCAAATGTAATACCTTTTTTAAGACCCTTTCCATACATTTTAAGACCTCATCGCCACTTTGAGTTTTAACCGGTTACATTGGCGACACACTTTACCTCACATTTACTATACAGTATTGATTGTCCTTCCTCCTTATCTTCCAACCATTTGGACGCAAACTTGCATTTCCCCATAACGATGCTGTTTAACAACCGGCGTAAACGGAGCTTCGCGCGCTATCAAGCAGTGAGCGTACGATGTCCTGTTCAGATGACGTCAAATCCAACGGGATGCCATGAATAAACTACACAGAATCACACTACACACCTACGCAGTGATTACATTCAGGCACACTGTAGAATACAACCTCTTTGGACAATTTATATACTTATTGAAAACAAGCTACAAAATGTAATACCTTGGAAAATGCCGTTTAATACTTTTTAATAGCCTTCATTTTCGCTAAATTGAAATATCAACTTTGAATACTTTTAAAGACCCCGCGGACACCCTGAGAAAGCATCAAGCACATTTAACTACTTGGAGGATTTAAAAAACGTGTCAAAGTGATGAACTCACCTTGGTTTTCTCATTAGCACCAGTGGGGTGTGGCAGGGTGCCCGATGCTGCCTGTCCAACCTCAGCATCTGATCTGGACCTCAATAACTGAGAGGAGGAGGACAGGTCTGTTCATTATGTGTGTTACATTTGAGTAGGAAGTGGATATGCTATTGCCCCCCCTTAGGAACACACAAACAATCCCCTTCTTTTCTACTTACTTGTTCTGGAAGGTGGAAAATTCTTTCAAAAAATAACAAAACTGATTTTGGATTAGATTGTTTTTTGAGATACCTTACTTGAGTATTTTAATGTTCTGGTACTTTATTCTCCTTTGTTCTGCTTCCACTGAGCCAAGCAGAGACTATTAGCGTCATTATGTGTCTATTGAAACACTGTGATTTAGGAAAGCTCGTTACCAAAGCATGTTTGTATCGCCAACAGAAGGACATACAACTTGCGTCAGTCCGTCCATGTAACAATGTTGGGTAGTAAGACATTGTTACATGGTGTGTTTCCTTTAGAGGAAGTTCAAAATGCTTTACCTTATGCATGCAGGATCAAGTACCAATTTGAAGATTAGACTAATACAGTGGTGGTGATGTTACTTAAGTAATTTTTGTTGAGGTACTTTACTTGAGTATTTCCATTTTATGCTACTTGTATACTTCTACTCCACTGGCAAAAGGAGGCAAATATCTTACTTTCACTCCATTATATTTATTCAACAAATAAAAACACATGATATATGCTAATATAATATACATCAGTGGTGTAAAACAAATAAACACAGTACTTGAAAAAAAAACTAAAACTGGCTCCCATTGACAAAAAGGCTAAAATGCTCTTACATGTTTTTTTTGGTGATAAAACAATAGTATATAATAACCTTGAATAATATACTATTGTGAAAAGAGCCATTCTGCATTTTGAATACTTTTGATACTTTAAGTCCATTTTGCTGATAATAATAATGTGCTTCTATTTAGGTAACATTTTGATTCTGTAGTATTTAAGACCCTAGTATCTCTACTTTTACTTAATAAAAGGATCGGACTACCTGTAGGATCTGAGTTCCTAAATAACTACATAAAAATAACCTTGTCCTGTTTTGTCCACTAGAGGGCCTTAAAGCCATAGCAAATGGAGAGTGAGAGTGAGGATCTGGGGTTCAAGAAAGTGTGTAAGCATCTGGCCCGCTGAAAAAGAGTGGAGAGTTTACCTGACTGTGTCTGCGTGTAGAAAAAGACTTTGCAGGCAGAGGTGGAGGACATGGCCGAGGCTCTCCAGCAGCCATGATGTCCTGGTACCAGCGCTCCAGGTTAATGGGAGCCATTGTGTTCCTGCTCAGCTCAGGATGGCTCTGAGGTGACGGGAAAGCATTCAGCCAGAGAGAGGAGAGGGAAGCAGCACAGCAGCGGCATGAGTGACAGAAGCATCAAGCAGGTAGGAGAGATAAACAGAAAACAGGCCTCGCAGAGATAGAAATGTTAAGTGGAAAAACTAAGACGGGAACAAACCTGGGCAGAGAGAAAGGAGGAAGGACCACATGCTGTTGAGTGGCATGAGAAGGTGGATTCAGAGGAGGCGAGTTGGAATGATGGAATAGAGGAAGAAGAGGTGGGATCGAGTCTCTGCATCCCAAAGATCTGGCTTAACTGACTGACTGTGATGTACTCCTTCACACAGGAACGAGATACACACACATACATTTACAAAAGAGGGAGACAAATAGCAGAGCATTAGGAAGCTGATCTCTGAGAAGGACGTCTTGAGATGTTGCTGGTTAAGAGAAACATGTGGCAGAATGCAGGCAGGGTGTCTACCTCACATGGCAGAGCTGGAGCTACAGCCAGGGAGAGGCAGTGGAGAGCAGCGGGGGGAGAAGGTTGCATAGAAGCGTTCCCATACATCTTAAAGACATCGGACAGCCTGAGGTACTCCTGCAGCGACAGCCAGAACACAACTTTAAGAGGGTGGAAAAAGTCAACTATGATAAGTCATGCAGGGATGCACAAGCAAACATGGAAATAAACTAGTTTAACTAGATGTTGCAGTATATGCTGTTAGTTTAACTGGATTGCAATTTTTGTAGTTTAATTACTTTCCTTTTATGTTTTTTGTTTACTACTAATCGTTCCAGACAAACCGTTTGGGCCATAAAATATAGAAATTTGTATTTATTATTTTTTACCTTTCTCCTTCAATGCATTTGTCAAAATCTTACAAATAACACTTTTTCTGGAACGAACGTTAGCCCCTTTATTGAAACATGTGACCCAAGTAGCTTAGGGTAACAAAAGCAGATTTCTTCCTAGGGTAGGTTGGATGCAGTTCGACTTCTTCCAGTTTGAAATAGTTGGTAGTATGCAAAGCTTTCAAAGTAGCTTCCCCTACACTGTGTACTATATTGCATATACCCATAATCACAACCCACTTGGTCCCTGTCGTTGAAATGATTATAGATGGCGCTGAGTTATATGATCCAAGTTTTTTCTTTATCATCTAACGTTATAATAAAAAGTACTGTATAACCATACAAACCTTAAACATAATATATAGATAGGCAGAAGCTTGACCTACCATCAAACACACTGCAAGCGTACTGTTGTGTTTCAGTAATTGCTAACACACCGTCATGCCCAGTCTCTATCGCAGCACAGGCGTTTATTAGGTTTGTTACTAAGAAGCTTTTGGAGAGATTTACCTCTTGTGGCCTAACAGGGTAGAGTTCAGGGTAGGGGATGTGAGAGGAGGAGGCAGAGGAGGGACAGGGGCTATGAGGAGGACCGTCCACATTAGCAAGGTCTGGTTCGCTGATGTGGAGAAATTCCTGTTTAAAAAGGTCGTCTAAGTAAAAAAAGATCCACTTGGAAGATGTTTTTTTTCGAACTTTAAGTGTTATATGATCTCTTCCTGCTCACCTCTGCCATGTTGCTTTTAGGCTTTGGGAAGTTTCGTCCTCCCGTTAAGGTGTGGTACTTCTTCTCCAGGGCACACAACCTGTCCTGCTCCTAAAAAGCAAAAGCAGCATGGACACAGAGGGGCTTTCAAAGCTGGCCATGCTTCACTTTTATGGATTAAATACAGGCTCGCTGTTGAGGTTAGATGTTTTTAGGGTGTAGGACCCACCTTGTGTAGCAGCTGCAGAGTCACTATCCTGTCTTTAGCCATCCTGTCACAGTCTTGAGACGCCTGCACTCCCATCTGTTTCACCTGAGCTTCCATAGCGGCCATTTTCTCCTGAAAGTCAACCCGTTTCGTCGCGTTGGTGAGATATTTTACACATTTTTCGGTAACCGTTTCTATGACGGAAATGTCTATAAGGCCCTATTAATATACTAATATGTGTTCAATAGTTCTCTATAACACGTTGTAATTGGTTTAAATATTTTACAATGACTTATAAAGTATAGTAACAAGGGTTAGGGTTAGGGTTAGCAGATTACAATCTATTTTTAGTATGCTTTAATGTATTTCATGTCTATAAAGCCCTATTAATATACTAATGTGTTAAATAATGTTCTATAGTACTTTGCAATTGAAATAAATATTGTATAATGACCTATAATGTCAAGTATTGTAACCGGTGTTTTTGTTGTTGTTGCAAGGAACACAGTGTATTATCATTTTTATAGTGATCTTATAATTTAGGAGTGCTTATAACTTTAATAACACAGTGCTTCAAGCAGATTACAATGCATTATAGGTATGTTTTGAATGTATTTCATGCGTCACAGAGAGTGTTTGACTGATTGTTTTCATAACAGATTTCCCCCTACCTTCCTCTTGGCCACGCTGCAGTGATACTCGGCTCGCTCTTGGAGAAGCTGTGAGTTCTTCGTGTCTTTCTTCTCCTCCAAACTGCTCTCCTCCTCCAGCTGGCAGAACTCCAGCTCCTCAAACTGCTTGGTCCCAGACTCCAGAGCCTCTGCTTTCTGTCCAAGTGCAGATGTACATGCAGGTTATTTATCAAAGGATGAGCGTGGGTATATTCCATATGTTTATTATTCTCAACAAAAGCCCATGAAAAGCCCAAAACCAACAATGATCCACACGTATTGTCTGTCTGTGTATATTAAGCTTCATATCTGCCTTACTTATGATGCACACAGCACTGCTGCATGTATTCATCCACAGTAGAAATTAGTCCCTAATCAAAAGCACTCCTCTTTGATTAACTTTTGGTCATACGAAAATAATAATATAAGTCCCTCCCTCAGTCTTTTTCTCTAAAAATCAAACCACATTTTTCACCCATTATCGAAGATTTACGACTTCAGTATTGTAAATCTTTGATGGAGCGTTACAGAGAGCCTTAATAATGGTCGTAAAGTATTGAGAGACAAACTTACACATTCTTTTTGTTTGGGGTTTTCATGGGATTTGTTCACAACAAGAAGAATAAACATAAACACCACCATATCCTTAAATGTCTGCTAGGAAAGAACCAGAGTTTGATACCATGTGAATGTTGTGTGGTTTGAATAACTCATTATAAAGGGCATGCACACTTTTAGAGCAAAGCTGTTAATAACATTATTAATGATTACTGATTGCATTTGACATTTCAAGCATCCAGAATGAGGGAACAGCAGAGATAAAGCCACAGTCTTAAAAGCATTGCTTACTGTGTAGCTACTCTTTATGTGATTATCAATAATGAGTGGCAACAGCAGAAAAAGAGGAAATGCACAGACTGCAGATTTAACGCAGCGTCCACACGGCAGCGTGCGTTGAAGCTTGCCGGCGGGCGTGTCTGAAGCTCGACCAACAACCAATCACATTAATCTCCCGCCCCGGACACACAAGCACGCGGTTTGATTGGCTAGAGCTTGTACTGGCGTATGATTTGGTTGGCTGACGCTTCCGTCGAAGCTTGAAANCTTTAATACATGCTAGTTATCACTTTAAAGATTCAGGTATAAACTGGATTCCATACTTCACTGATGTAATATGTGAATATTGATGTGCAATGTCATCTGTATTTACATTATCTATTTGATATGGATTTTTCACAGGAAGCCATTCCTTTTGGACTTTAATGAGACAGGCAAGTCCCTGAAAGTCCAGGCAGAGCACCCCCACCTGGTTAGTTTGGGAAGTGGACGTTTGAGCACAGCTATCACGTTGCTGCCACTGCTGGAAGGTAAACACCTGTGTGTGTGTGTGTGTGTGTGTGTGTGTGTGTGTGTGTGTGTGTGTGTGTGTGTGTGTGTGTGTGTGTGTGTGTGTGTGTGTGTGTGTGTGTGTGTATTTTTTTTTCTTAGTAAAGTTGTGCACTACTTACTGTTTATAGATTTCCTAATATCCTTGTTGAATAGAACTTAATGAAACTTTATTAACAGCTTGTTCAATAAATAGTCTTGCCTTAGCATCCTGTACCATTAAACAGTGAAGGTGACTATAAGAGGAGCTAATAAGACATATGTAACCTATATTGTAAAATACTGTTTGTATTGAAGCTCTGACCTCTCTGTATTTCTGCGTTCTTTGTTTTTGTGAGCACCTAAAGACACCCTCATAATCAAATTATACAAAATAAGTCACTTTATCTGTAGTAAGTTAGAACAACACTTTTCATGAGTGATGAACTTGTACAAACTGATGACACCTTACCTTATAACCATGTTGTTGTTGCTAACACTGCCCCACAGTTGCAATTATACGGTACCCTTGTCTGGGATCTTCTTGCATTGAGCCCATAAACACCACAGAGGAAGAGAGGGTGTGACAGTAGTGAGAGACGTCTTCCTGGATTATCTTTGTGCTCCATCTCTGTGCTGTCACATAAGAAAAATAATGTTAAAGGTTAATTATATTGCACTCAGAAAGCAATATAAAAACAACTGATAGAAAATTACAACACAGAAAATAGTAGATGGCTATATTAACTCGTTCTGACACTATGCATTTCATCTGCCAGGCTAAGCACACCTCTTGTTTTTAGAAACTGCCGCATGTGCCCTTGACCCCTAAAATGACACCAGTAGGCTACCTCTAACTGCAACCTAAGAATACTTCACCGAAGTGTTAAAATAGCAGGTCCACACGGATCTCCTGTAACTGACGCTGGGAACATGTTTGCTGTTGTTGCAGGGAGGAACACGCTGGGCAGCGGGGCCACAGACATACCTGTGCAGGGCCTGGGCATCGCAGATCAGCACTGCTACATCGAAAACCAAGCAGGCAGCATCACGTTGCACCCATGTGGAAGCCAGTGCTCTGTCGATGGCCTTTCCATCACCAAACCCTATCGCCTGACTCAAGGTAGCACCGCCACAGCGTTAAGTGACTGATGCTAAATGAGTGTTGGTATTAAAGATGTTTTTTTACTAGCTTCCTGCATCAATAAAATAACTTGGTTTCCTTAGAAAAATAAAACAGGTTAGCCAATAGTATTGATTAGTACAGATGTGCGTATTGTGACTGCTATGGGCGGAAATTTAATAGCAGTTTTCATTTTTCAACAACAAAAAATAAAATGTTCAGTTTGTGCTGAAACGTCATGGTGTCCTGAGGTAAAAGGATTAGCTTCGTTTCTTTTTTTACCTGTGCTACCATAAGGTTTGAAGACTGTAGTTTTAAGTTTAATAGCCAAATAAATACAGTTTGCAATGGAATCCCATCAAATGTAGTCCCTGTCAAGTTTAGTTTATGACTAACTGCAAAACTATTGACATAACAAACGTTAGCATACTAGCATGCTACGCTAAGATGGTGATTGTAACTATATTGTCTGCTAAACACCAGAATGTTAGCATTGTCCAGCGTGTTAGCATGCTAATTTGAGCATTTAGCTCAAGGCACTGCAAATATCTTAAGAGCAGCTAGCATTTTTTTTATACTATTCTCGTGTTTAACCCTGTTATCTGTTGAATCACATTTATGTTTAGTCAGATATTTTATAATTAGCTTACTATCACACATAAACTAGGAGTTGCTGAGTATTAAATACAGTGAAGAAAAAGTGGACACAACACAGTCTGCACAACAACAAAGCAGTCCCATGTCTTTCCAGTAACATACACACTTGCCATGAAAAAAAGGCACAACAGTCCCACCCTCCTCAGTCCCCTCTCCATGGGATTAAGGGCCAGCAGCTCGACCAGAATGTCATTTGAAGCCGGGTGATCAGCCAGTGTGTGTGGAGGCAGCAGCTGCTCAACAAGAATACTTCAGGCTTGCTTCATTCACAGGACTCATGTCAGGATGGCATGTTATAAACAACCTGAGAAGAGAGGAAACTTCTTCATTTATATCATAAAGGACAATGTTGCAGCCCTATGGACCTTTGACTTCCATTTATAGGATGAAATAAAAGTTAAACTCCCTGTGGATTATCCAGACCTGGAAACAAATCTTCTGGGATTATATCAGGCAGGAATGCAGGGAGAGGAGAAGGAGATGATTTCACTTACTGGTTAATCACACGTGAGTTAAACTAGTTTGCTTTTCTGCCAGGTAAACAATCAACACACTTCCTGTAGTTGAATAATAGACAAATAGATGACATTAGTAGTGTGTTTGAACTTTGAGCTCTTTTCCATGCCTGTGTCACAATGTGGGTGACTCGTTTTCTACCACTTGCTTTCACTCTCAGATCTCCTCGTTTATCTAATGTCAAGATGAAATGTGGTTCAGCTTCAGGGCATTTTAAATAAATCTTCCAGATAAATAGGTCTACACACCCCCTATTGTTTTCTATCAATCAAAATATGTTGTGGCAGTGCTTTTTATGGTGGTGATAATACTCATCCTTTCTTAAAATGTTAACAAACTCATCACTGTCAGGTTTTTACCCACACTTTCTTTTCCCCTGGCAGGGTGCATGCTGTGTTTCGGTCAGTCTGTCTTTTTCCGCTTCAACCATCCAGAGGAGGCCCTGCGGATGAAGAGCATGCTGCCTGGAGGAAGCCAAGGACCTAACACCACGAGAACTCATATTACAGGTAAAGACCCAACTTAAATAATCATAAAACACCTATAGCACCAGATAGTAGCGTTCCTGTGATCCAGTCACTGGAAAAAACACAGAGATTGTGTTAAGTAATAATACTTAACAGGGATCCAGAAATAAACTGGTACGCATTAAATGTTTAACAGTTTCCTCTGTAGCTATTCTCGGCGGAACAAATACTTTGGCCTGAAGGATATTTAGACACAGTTGGTTACTCACCTTAGTGTACAACAAGTTTCATAAGTTCCCATTAATGCTGAACAACAATCGCACATCTGTTCTATGGCATTACAAAACATTGGCCTTTGGTTTGGATGACGTATTGCACATGCCTGACTTGTTAAGACTATCTGAGTTTTAGGGATTACTTCTTAACAAATGGTTACTTGACACATTGGTCATTATCCTTGGCGGGATGCAGAAATAGCTTTCTCAGGGCTAATTATCTGTGGCCTACATTGTGATCTAGTTCATTTAAATGTGTGGTTTTTGCTCTAGGTGTGACCCCATTGTGACAAATGATTGTTGTAACCTTTCTTTTTAGAGTTCCATTCATGTGGTGTAACATTGTTCTGGTACGTTAAGTGCTTTCACTGTTGCCTCGTGCCGTGGATGATATTTAGATTCCATTCTCCTCTGACCTTATTAGTTTGGCTGTCGGTGCCTGAACATACAGTTAGAGCCCACCACACCCTTTCCAGTGTGTATGACCCACTCTTTCCTGACCAGGCCCTGATTTGATCTGCTTTGAATGAAGTACACTGCTACAGCTTTTATATTTAGCATCTCTAGATCCCTGTAGGTTTACATCACTACTGAGGAGCACAACATCCCAATTGCTGGGTTCCTATAGGAGAACATCAGCTCTTAGACATTTACCATTATTTAAAGTGGGCCACCGGGACACTGGGTGGCTCCCCCTTTATCTAGCCAGTAGGACAAAGATGACACAGGACAGATCCCTCCCACTGTGTTTGTTTATGTGTGTTTTTGCAACTGTCTTCTCAAGTGTCCTCTTCCTTAACTCATCAGGAATGCTCACTCACAACCATTTCTGTCTCCCTTCCCAGATTCTCCCAGTGTCCTGAACGGGAACCATCAGTCTTATTCGAGCAATGGCGACTCCAAAATCAACAACAAAGCAAAGAATCTCCAGGACTCATCGGGGCTGAAGGCTGGATCTAGTAACCAGCCTTTTCATGAGCCCTCTCCTCCGAGGATGCTCAATGGGAGAAACGAAGAGGAGTCCATTTATGAGAACAGCAGCAGCTTTCAGGGCCAGAACCTCGGTAGCAAAACTCCTCCAGTACCTAGGCGTTCCCCTCACACCAACTACACTCCTGTCCCCCATCCACGGACCACACTCTCTGTGGCCTCAAGCGGTTCTAGTGGTGGTCAGAGGGCCCAGGAAAGCCCAAAGCTTCGTAGGAACTTAAGAGCCGAGGCCACATCAAGCCCAACACCTCTGAGCAAGGGGTCCGGGCAGGGCGCAGAGAACTATAGCCACAAACCATCCCCCATAAAGCTTTCCTCAACAGCTCCATCCAGCCCTCGAGTGCGAGGCTCCTCCCTACAGAAGAGATCCCCCAGTCCCAGGCGAGATCAACACCTCTCTAATGTGGAAGTCCCTCAGAGATTGAGGACCCCGGAGCCGATTGGTTCCAACAGCTTGAGAGAACTTCCTCCTCTCAGTCCTTATATGTCCAGCAGGGGTACTCAAGGATCGCAGGGCTCCACTTCAACCCTTGCATTACAGGGCCACCTCAAACTCGCATCTAATTCGAAAGCAGAAGCCATGCGGGCCATGTATGCCCAGGGTCCAATGTCCCTCTCTGGGCTGGAGAAGGAGCCGGGAGGAAAACAGTTAAGGTCCGGCCCGGGAAGTGCCATCGTGTCAGGCCTGGGTTCTCTGTCGGGATCTCCTCTCACTAGCCCTCGTAGCCAAAGAAAGACTTCCTGCATGACTATGAGGGAGCAGAGTCTCATGAAACCATATACCCGGGAACGCAAAAACAGCATCTCTGAGATAAGTGACAATGAGGACGAGTTGCTGGAATACCACCGATGGCAGAGAGAGGAGAGGATGCGTGAGCAGGAAATGGAGAAACAGGTAAGTGATCACCACTTTAGATATCGCTTTACAGTAGAAAACAATTTTACCATGACAGGTTTAGTTTAAATATAGGTGTAAACTTTGCTCAGGAATTCAAAAAGTATCAATTTTCTGTTAAAGGTTTTTTTTTAATGACGGTTGCTTATGCTATTTCCTGTTAATGAGTGGAATTTGTACATACCTTATTCTGCTATAACTTATTTTGGTCAATTTAACACCATAACAAGTTGACAGTTACAAAGCCACAGCTGTAACAGGGTATACAAAATGTTAGCAAAAAACATGATTTTAACCAGCATACACGGAGTCACAAACATGTGACAGTTAAGTGAAGGTGGTGAGAATGCTGGCATGGCAGACACCATGTCTGCATTCAGATATCTTGTTTAAATCTCCTGGCGTACGGCCACTTGCTCATCTCCCCAGAGCATTTCTGGCATGTTCAGCCCATGCACCCCGATGAACACGGGGTGAACATTCCTCCACATGTCTTAAGGTCCAGAGCCATGTGCCAGCTGCTTATTAATCAACACTATATTTATCAAGAGGACGAGCGGCTTTTACTTTCAAAGCTGCCCATGCTTGACTGAAAGCTTTTTATTATCTGAACCCACGCTAGCTCATAGACTGCATACTTGTTATCCATCCTCAGTCCACACCCACTACCCCCCCATCCCCATTCTTCAGCCCCCACCCCTGCCTACTTCTGACAGCTGAAGCGACCACAGAGGGTGGGGGTTCCCAGCCCTCCACAGACTATTCCAGGAACCAAAAGGTTTCTGGTAACAAATAAGAGAGTTACCGACAACGTGCATCTGAGTTGGACCGAGAGGTTTCAATGCTGTGGATGCACATTTGTGTTAAATCATAGAGTAGATAATGTAAGGCATTACCAAGTACATTTACAGATAAATTACTGATTCTTATTGGCCTAATGGTGGGGCGAAATGTTTTATCCACCATTATAATTTCCCCCATTACATGATTTTCATTTTGCATGCTTTGATATTATCCTGGATTCAAGTGGTAGTTCAAGTTTAAAACATGCAAGTCCTATTTTGTCAAACCAAGACCCTAATAATTAAACTGGGTAGAAAACTATACTGTACAGATTTGTAGCTGAAAGCTGAACATTTGAATGTTGGTTGAGGTTTCCAGGTTTTCAGTGATTCCTGGCTATTGGCTGTGATGTGCTATGTAGCTAATTAACAAATATGGTAGGCTATAATGATTTTAAGTCTTAATCTGTTTTTATGGTAAATTAATACCTGTGTACACAAATGACACAAGACACAAGAATGTAAATAGGCTAACCGATGTGTGAACAAAAGTTCCTGAATGTTACATTAAACTGAAAATGACCTCATCCACGTACCAAGGGATAATGTTCAGGTTTTTCTAGCTTCAAAATGAATGATATCCAGGCTCCAATTAAAGGAATTGTTTGGCATGGTGGTGAGGTAGGTTAAACTTTCTTGCCAGAAGTTAAATGAGAAGATTGATAGCACTCTCAGTCCATTAAGTTTGAAGCTAGAGCCAGGAGACGGTTAGCTTAGCTTAGCAAAAGGAAACAGCTAGCCTGGCTCTGTTAGTTAGCACCACTTATGTGATGTCATTTTATTTTAAATCTGTACAAATACAAAGATGATAAATATTAAGACAGACATGTACTATGAAGTGCAACATTTTTGATTTAGGATTAACAGATGAGATGCAATGTATACATTAGCTTTCTTGGCACTAGCTGTATACTTATAGATGAGAGAGACAAAGAGAGGATTTCCTCTCAGTGAAATGAATGGACTACTTTTGGCACCCGGCTCTCTCGGCACAGTAATGTCACTTTACTGAACCCTAGCTAAATCAAAATGTTGCACTTCATAGTACATATCTGTCTTAATATTTATCATCTTTGTATTTGTACAGATTTAAAATAAAATGACATATATCACATAAGTGGTGCTAACTAGCAGAGCCAGGCTAGCTGTTTCCTTTTGCTAAGCTAAGCTAACCGTCTCCTGGCTCTTTAAAAATACAAAAAATACAAAACGGACCATACAGCAGCAGCAAAAGTAAAGGGCAAAGCTAGAGAGGTGAGATGAGGGGAAACAGACTTCAAATATTTCTATTACTAAGATGGTTTTTGTTAATTGAGAATCAGAATACCTTTATTAGTCCCACAGAGGGAAAATGTACATTGTTGTAGATGTATAAGGTGAAAACTAAGAACAAATATTTCAATTGGAAAAAAACAGCAACATTTTATTAATAATAATGAGAGATGTTCATTTCAGCGTTACACTGTTTTTGCTCCTTCGAGTAACTGACCTGCAAATCCATGTAAAAGCAAAGGATTTAAACATTTTAATTAAAAGCCGAAATACACTTACTTGCAAAGAGTTACATGAGATCTTTCTGTTAAACTCAATGCTCATGAGAGTTGATGTGGTTATTTTTATTCAGTCTGACTAATTTAAATACCAGACAAAAGTGGGCTTGTGGTTGTGGACATAATGTGACGATACCACACATCAGGCACAAAAGTTCCCAGTCTTTATTCTAATTATTGTTTCACACACTGCTCTCTTATTTTGGTAGATAAAAGCAAGCATCCCATTGTTCGGGGTGATGGGAAACAACAGACCAGCCACAACTAGAACCATGTGGCATATGAAACAAATACAAAACACAATAAAGAACTATATTCTTTTACAGGGTAACATTTAAAACATGTCTGATCAGAAAACAACCAAAAGTCAGCAGTGTCTTACAAACATCGTTCTTTAAAATGACTACAGTCAGATTCTGATCTCATAAACTGCCTTGATAAACTTTACTATGAACCCCCCCCTGAGCGGCAAACTACGTTGGCCCTCCTGCTATCAGGTTACAGTTGTCCCGTGCCGGTGGCAGAGGGACAGCTGCCTAAATGGGACAATGTCAGACAAGGACACTTGCAGCGAATCTGCAATTTGATCTATAAAGTAGGACAGGCCCCGCTTATGTCTCCCATGTCTTCTGCAGGAGCGACAGAGGCTGGAGACCATCCTCCATCTGTGTGCAGACTATAACTACGAGGACAGTGCTGCAGAGCTGGCAGAGGTGGTGAGGAGTGGGCTACTGGGGAGCGATAGAGGACCCTCCAAAACAGCAGGGGGGCTGACCATTCAGGAAGTAGACAGACCCCAGAGGGTGAGGGAGAACGATGAGGAAACCCAGAGAGAGGAGTCCAGCAGCACAGAGAGCACACATCAAGAGGTAATGAACTGATTTATTATTATTGTTATTATTATTACATATTACACATCATTTAGCTGCCGCTTTTATCCAAAGCGAGTTACATTAAGTGCAAAAACCATAAAGAATCAAACTCTGAACAACAAGGAAAATGCAGATATATTCAAGTAAGTGCTGCTGGTGAATTAGTTAAAATTACTAAATTAACTCAAGTGCTTCGTTTAAAAAAATAAATAATTATATATATGTGAAGGCATGCTTTAGATTTATTTTGTATGTGTCGGTCTGATTAGTACAGAAGTTTTTTAGGGGAAACAAATTAAATAATATTCTGCATTAAATAAATTAAATAATATTCTGAATTTCAAGAGTAAAGAAAAAATGTTGAGATGAAGTCAAGCTTTGTGTATGTACTAACGCTGGTAGTTTGATTTGTTTACAACATTTTGAAACAGTAAATTCTTAACATTTGGACTGTAAAATAATTCCCAAATCCTGTCCTTTTTTCTTCTTATGGCCCACATACTCTCCCAAAGATTAGACATCTTATAGAAACATTTTTTTTTTTTGAATGTGCCCTCAGTGTGAAGATCTGTTCGCTGGTCAGGAGCACGTGTACCTGGAGGAGGAGAGGAGCAGGATCCTGGCCAGAGTTGATGACTTGAAGCACAGAGTCACTGAACTGGAGCTGCAGCTACAAGAGACCAAACAGGAGGTCAACATATACACATACACACATTCTAGCTTATAAGATCAACCCTGATAGCGAGAGGACTGGAATCCATTTCACCTGGAAGTATTTATTCAGCTCGACACGATTGTTGTTTTCAGACTCTGACTCCACATGTGTCTCTAGGTGGAGATGGAGCAAGCCCTGCTGCAGGCGGAGAAGCGGGCCGAGCATGAGCAGGTGGAGGCTGAAAATGATATCATCTCTAAGCTGCAGCTCAAGCTCAGCCAGCTGGACAAGGCCACCCAGAAGGAAAAGGACAAGGTGGGCACTCAGGACTAAACTATGTGACAAAATAAATACTGTCCGACTGCTCCGAGCTGTCTGCCTTTTTCGTACGGTTTGCACGCGAATGTTCTTGAACATCTGTGTTTGACTTTTTAAGAACTCACTCGTTCCTGTATGTGCAAATATGTGCCTCAGATATAAACTGAGATGCACTGCTTACAACACAAAACTCTCCTCTCTCGGGAGGTGGGGCATGTTTCCATGCATCAGGCTGGATATGCCCAAGACTCAAATGCTGTATTAGATGTGCTGCATACACCTTTTCATTTCCCTCCAGTTCGAAAATGAGCATAATATGTCCTCTTTAACAAATGTGTGAAGCATTGTGATCCCTATAACACCTGCCAACCTAACCTCAGCTTCAATCCTCTAATACTTTAACTGCGTTATCTTTAAAGCTTGGCTGCAAAGATTTGTGTTGTGTGTGTTTTTCTTTTTTTATTCTACTTGGGGTTGTGCGTGAATGTGGACCCAACTGTTGCGTATGTGTGTGTTTCTATGTGTTTTTAGGGGAGGGCTAATGTGTCGGCTGAGAGGAAGGCCCTGGAAAAGCAGAGGAATGAGTACAATGAGCTGAAGAGGCAGATTGATAAGTGCCCCTTGTCTCTAAGGGAACAGTTACAGGAGCAGCTCAGCAGGGTCAGTGTTCTCACGCAGCCCACTGTCTGGCAACTGTGAGTTATAATATACCAGTTCTGGAAGATCTGCACAGAATCCTCTGCAGACAAAACACTGACTCTGTTTTGAAGCATTCGGAGATACGGCCAGTCCACACGGCGGCGTGCGTTGACGCTTCCCGTTCACTTAGAATGGGGTGACGTCACTTTTCGCTGAACTGCATTGTGGGAAGCGACGCGGAGCTTTGCTGGCGTGGCTCGCTGCAAAAGTTGAGCAATGTTCAACTTTTGAAGCCTCGGCAGAAGCGTCAGCCAATCGAATCATATGCCAGTACAAAGTCTACAGCCATCAAAACCCGCTGCTTGTGTGTCAGGGCGCGGGAGATTCATTCGTGATTGGTTGTCTGGTCGAGTTTCAGCACGCCGCCAGCAAGGCTTCAAGCACCGCCGCTACGTGTGGACGGGCCGTACTTTTACGGCCCGCCACACAGCTGCGTGCGTGAAGCTTGCCATTCTCTTGAAATGGGGCTACGTCAGCTTTTGCGAACTGCATTGTGGGAGAGCGAGCGGAGCTTGTGCTNTTAAATATGCAAATTAGCCATTATCTCATCAAATATGTGCATATTTTAACACATTTCAGGAATCGAAATCTGAACTTTGGATAAAGCCAGGTTCAAAATTCTTGAATTTTGAACCTGGCTTTATCCAAAGTTCAGATTTCGATTCCTGAAATGTGTTAAAATATGCACATATTTGATGAGATAATGGCTAATTTGCATATTTAAACATGCTATTTCAGAAAACTTGTAATACAAAAGACAATTGTCTTATTGTAAGTAATTAACTGGAGAAATTTCTAGCTGATACCTTTAAGTTAAAAAAATTACCCTATTCACCTGGGGTGTCTCGCCTTAAGTGAAGATGAGCATGAATATTGATATTTGGATCAACTTGATCTTTTTTATTAGGAGGACTATCGGCGCACAGTAACTGAGATCGATGAGAAGGAATACATCAGTCTGAAGATCATAGTTTCTGAGCTCAGAAATCAATATGTAAGTTATTATTTCTATTTCTCATATAATATTTGTTTGACTCAATGGAAGTATTTCAACAGTAAGCTGTATTTTCCACATGGTCTCTTTTATTTTCTGTGAAGGTAACGTTACACGACATGATCCTGAAGAACATAGAGAAGATCAGGAAGCCTAGAAGCAGTAATACTGAAGCGTTGTACTGATGTTCACACAGCCATCTCTGCCTCCACCCTATCATGCCTGTTGAGCTGCAGTAGCCCTCGTCCGCAGGACTACAACTCAACTTTCACCTACAGTACAATCATCACCACCCAGTACAAGGACAAAGCATCCATACATGGACACATGTTTTTGTTTTAAATGTAAAATATTGTTCTTGTTTGAAACCCTTTGAAGGAAAATGGGGAAATAGATCATAGACGACAAAAAGCTCTATGTATTTTAATTTTAATTAAACATTTCGTCCTCAGCTCCATTTATATATCTTAAAATAATTCAAAGCAAAGTGGTTTGTTTCATGTCCCCTGCTTTCCTGAATTTTCCTTTTATTTAAGTCTTCTATTTGACTCTTACACCATCTTTCTTGTTGCACATCCATTATAGTCTTGAGGATACGCAACACGAAAGCTGTTTTATTTTTTTCTCCGAATGTTATACATTACACAGTATAATGGTAACATCTGAATACTAAGCAGGTTTTAGTTCTACATGCTTATTAGTTTTCAGTGAAAATTCCCGAGTCACCAAAGCATCTCTTATGTTAAGGCATTGATGTTACTGAATAAAACCTTTTGATAAAATAACTACTTCTGGCATTTATGTTTTTGTTTAATATATATCCTTTTGGATATATGATGAAGATAGTTTTATAGACACATGTAAAGAGGTTTTAATTAAACGTTCATACTGTAGTTATGGGTTTAGGCCATAGTTTAGGCATACAGTAAAAAAACATGTAGCTATGTTTTCTCTAGACCTGCAGATGTCACTGTTGCTCTCTTTACATTAGCAGAAGACACAAGGCTATAAGCACACTGGGGTAATAACCAACATATACTGTTTTTATCCAAGATTGAGATCATTTTATATTGTGCAATTTTCTTTGCAATAAATGCACATTTATCTAAATAAAAACGTTTATATTGTTAAATGCCTTGACATTTGGATGTAAAGCTATCTGTTGATTATACATGCTTGGAGTTTGGGTCAATATTCTGTAGAAAAAAAGTTCAATCACATCCTGAATAATTGTTGAATGCAGTATCTTAAGAAGAAGCTGTAATAATACATCCATTAAAATGAAGGCACTAAAACAAAGGACTCTTAGTAGTAAAGATTCAAACACTGCCTTATCATTTAAAAGTCAACTGATGTAAACAGGGTAGTGTTGCTCAATGTTTCTGACGCAGTTGTAGTGCCTGTCCCCCCTCTCTGTCTGTTTTACCCTCCCACAATCTAGCCTGCTCTAGAGCGTCACCATATAGATATGGCTTCATGTGATAAGCAGCGGAAACACTTAACAGGGACCGCATAGATAAGAAAACACACTTCGGATTTGCAGTTGGGAAATGTCACTATCCACAATGATTATGTCACCAAGAGATTTCTCACATTGACCCTGTCTACGGTATTGTGCCAAGCTAAATTAAACCACATTGGCATAAAATAGCATAGCAGACTAAATCTTACATTTTTGAAAATGACAATATATAACTTTGGTATTTTAAGAAATGTACATGATAGGAAATAATGTACATTGTTTTATCATTACAATGACTTAAATTGACATCTAATTGCCCTCAGTTTACAATATTATAAGCACGCTTCCAGAGGTTCGTCTTTCTCTGCAATCCTGTTGATCTCACGTACATCCTTTAATAGCCCGAACAATGTGTTTCTTTTAGAGCCTGAAAAAACACGTGTTGTCTGTTACGTATTCTGCCCCTTGACCCTCCATGTCCCACCCGAGAGCGCATGGCTGTGGTGAAAGGCTGTGTCACTATGGGACTGCCGAGTGAAGGGAGCATGCTCTGGTTAATATGTAATGGTTGTTCCTGAAAGAGAATTAATCAGTATTATTCTGAAACATTCGGAGAAATCCAATTGGGAAGCCCAGCAATAGTAAAATAAGCACAATTCTTTATAGGAAACAAATGGTTATAAAACAGTTTTTATTACATCATTTATTGATCCTTTTGCTGATGAAGCACTTTTGTTTTCTGAATTTCAAACTACGTTTGTATAAAAATCTTTAGACTATCCAATAGAAGAGCCTCCAATGTAGAGCCCTTTTCAGGGAGAAAAGACAGTTGACCAGACCTTGAAGGCCGAATTTTAAACAAAAATGAAACATAATTTTATTTCACTTTACTGTCTGCATCTAAATTGTTGAGCCTGTTGGCCTAGTTTAGCATAAAGATTTGAAACATGGGGGGAAAACTATCTTGGCTTTATTCAGAAGTGAAAAAATCAGCCAACCAGCACCTTTGAAGTTCACTTAATACATATTTCATCTTCTTTGCTTAATCTATACTAAAACCAAGAGTAAAAGGTAACTTGAGGTTTCACCATGAGGTTGATAACCAACTAGCGTATTGCCAAAAAATTGCCTGGACTGATGAAAATAAGAGATTTATATAGATCGTCTTGGACTTTTGGAGGAATTGGTATACATTTTGCCACTCTACTGACATTTTATAGACCAAATGACTTAATGACTTATAAAAAGAACATAATCTGCAGATTATCAACAATGAAAATCGCTTAAAAGGTAGGGTAGAAACCAGCTCGAGTGCGTTAGAACTTGAAAAGTACACAACTGGAAAAAATCTGCCCCTTCCTTCAGATTTCCTGCCATAACGCCACAAACAAACTAAACAAATGCCTTATGATTCACTAACAAACACAATGTGGTTTGCAAATACAAAACACCATCTACAAACTAATGCATTTAGTTTTGCAAAGAAAAAACGTATCTATCAAAGAAACACATACAATTTTTCTAATAAATCATGTTTCAGAGACAAATTCAGCATAGATTTTACAAGTACACAACTTGTTTTTACAACTACAACACTTTTTTTGTACAAGTACAAAACTTTGTTTTCTTCTCACGGCGGAATATTACTGCCAAAAGTCACGTGACTCACTCACGTGACTTTTGGCAGTAATATTCCGCCGTGGCATGCTCACTCACACATACTCCACGGCATCAGGGGGCGCTACTGAGTCCATTGGGAAGGCGGGAGGTTGAGGGTTGAGCAGAGCATGGAACAGCCCTTGCCAGCAGGTGTTTCTAGTGATCTAGCGATCTGGGTCAGTGTTATAGTGATAATATTATAAACAAGTTGAATTTAGCGATCACAATGAAAACAGCCAAGACACATATTGAGCCCAGAAAATGAATTTTATTAGGGCTGTAAATATAATAAGCCTTTCACTAAAATGGACAACATTGTAACTAAGGAGATTTAAACTATCCAACGATTATGCACTCCGTCAATCAGCTGCTCTTCATTTTCTTTCCTGCTATATTCAATGAGTGATACAAATATTTTTTACCACAAGTTCTTAATACAACTGACACTGTTGGACTTGGTATTAGTTGACTGCTACCAATAAAATGAAGTACTTTACTGTGTACTTTTTGAGTAATCCTCTGTCAGAGTCCCCTCCATAGTACATAATGCATGTTTTCTGCTATCTTTGATGAATGATAAGAATAGAATGTTACCATTAGTTCTTAATGAAATTGATACTGTTAGACTTTGTATTAGTAAGCCTACTAACAATACATTGAAGTACTTTTACTGTGTATTTTTTGAGAAATACTCTGTCAAAGTCCCCTGCTGAGAACAAAATCAAGCCACTTCTGCTAAGTTTGATGAGGGAATTATGTTTTGTTGCCATTAATTCTTTGTGAGATTGATCCTGTTGGACTCAGTACTACTGAAACTACCCCCACAAGTACTATGAAGTACTTATCGTGTACTTTTCCAGTAATCCTCTGTCAATGTCCCCTCCTGAGTACAATAATGCATGTTTTTCTTTTAATAAGCGTTAAAAAAACATTTCTTCCTGAGACTCATATTGTTGGACAGAGTATTTTAAGAGGATGGTAGACATTGTAACATCTTGGTGAATACAAGATCTTTGAATACAGAGATCACGTGGATGACGTAATGCATGTGTGCATGTAAGCGCCAGTTGGAAATAAAGATGGACACTCGGAATGAGAGAAGTAGTCCGCTACATCTGTTTATGTAGACACTTACATGTCCATAGGACAGAATATTACAGACATGATATCAGCAATAGGCCTACTTCCTGTCAGTACATTTGTCCACCTTGGAAAGTCTTTAGAGTCTGGCCTGGATAGCTGGTCACAAATATCCTTCAGCAAAGTGACACACTCTGTCACATGGTTGCCCTCTTATGATGCTGCTGTCTTTTAATATATAATTATTCCTCTGCCAGTAGTTCGTACCTCGCAGATTCTTCAGTCTCATCAGCCTCATCCTTCCATCAGTCCCAGTCAACGCCTCCAGCACACTTCCAGTGTCCGACATTCTCCTGATGCTGTAAGGGTGATGCCCCATGTTCACAAAATGACACCTCTAAAGTCTGAGTGCCAAGGACCTCATATTATGTCTGTCATTAATGTTACATCACCCATTATAACAATTTTCTTTCCTTTTTTCTCTTCTCTTAACTGAATAGTCCTGTCTTTAAGTATAACCCAATGTAAAGTCCTTTTCCTGCACCATTTTAAGGCTTCATAGCAGGCATTTTTACTGCAGTGTTTGGAGATATTACACAATCAATGGCCCAGAATTGTACTTTATAAACTATGAATCTTGTAATCTTGTAGTGCTTGAAGAAATACAACTGGTTAAGCCGGCCAGGTTATATTATGCCTTTTTTGGAGCCCTTTTTTGCAATATTTATTAAAATGTCACAAGTTATTTAAACAAACCACTATCTAAGGATAACAAGCAACCATAAAACGCCCTTTATCTAGAGAGCCATTGAAGCCCATGAAGAATTTATCCTTCCACAAATCTTTTCAACTGCTGTATTAATAAAATTGCCACGTGTTTTCAAATTCAAGTTAAGGCACTATCTGTGTAAACCATTTAAAAATATTCTTCATTTACAGTATTTTACAAGTGTTCAGAAAGACTGCATCAATTATATGCTAAATATATATAATATCAATATTGTTATTAACTTCAACCAAAGTCAATTTAAATAGCGGGCAAAAATGGGTTAATTGCCATGGATGTGGTGTTTGATATAGTTTACGTTCAATTTTAACTATTTTAGGCAGAAAAACTTATATTGACTAAACCTTTTTTAATAGTTTACTATAATTTAGAAAGGTTTTTGTGAGAAATAATTTCAAAAGTAAACTTCTTTTTCATTTGAAATTTGAAATGTTTGCACACAACATTATTAAGTAATACATTTTTATACATTTTTTAAATTATGAATCCATTTATTGTATTTCCTTGAGGCTGGGGAAGATATCCAGCATGTGGTTCAACATGTAATACAAGTAAGTATATGTACAACATGGAAAAGTAATAAAATAAGTTTAATAGGATGTGGATTTATTTTACACAATCAAACAAATATAATTTAGCTCTGACCTTCCCAAAAACATTTTGTTGAATTGGACACATTCAAAGCTGACATGCAATGACTGGGACTGCATACTATGAGATACGTGAAGCATGTTATGTGACGAGAGGGAGTTTGGTAACTGTTACAAAATGCTGGTTTGGTCTAAGTCGGGGGTGACTAAGGCTGGTGACTTCTCAGCCTGTGGCTTTGGACCCGATTTTAACACGGGACATTTGTAACGTAAAGGGAGAAAAGTCATAAGAAAACGAAGAGATGTATGCCTCAGACAGGAGGTGTTTTTGTCCCGGTGAAAGGTACTATTACAAATACTAACACAAATGATAGTTTCGGTCGCTACTCACATAAGTAATACACAAATAGTCCAGATAGGACAGTAACAAAATAAAAAGAACGTAACTAGTTTATACTAGTTTCCCCCCCCCTTCACAGCATCCGGTAAAGAACACAATGGAATGTCATATGACCACGGATTTGGGTTTACGAAGACTTTCGTGACAACGCAGATGTGAATGACATGGTAAAAGAATAGAAACGACCAAAGGGAAACGTATAGATTACTCCAAATAATAAGAGTTCGCGAAGTTCGGTGGTCCCGACTAAACTGTCTGATACAACTTTGATAGGAAAAGTGTGATTCAACTTTGAAGGCTATAAAACCTACTGACACCCACCCATGCAAAGATACCGGAGTCCTGTGTCCGACAGGGTCTTAATCGCTATACTCAGCACACTTTCACCTAAAAACTTTCCGCAAAGGCGGCTACGGATGGTGTTTGAAAGTAGACGGGTCCGGGATAGAACCATATATTCGAAACGATAAAAACACTGATAGCGCGTGAGAACGTCTGAATGAGACTGATGAGACCACTCTGTACGATGGAAACTTCCAGAGTTTATTATTGGTCTTCTGTTGCGACGGATCGAAAGTGGTAAATAATAAATAATGAGAGTACATGTACGAAATGTCATAACTTGCTCAAATTTATTAGGTGTTGGTATTGAGGGATGTCGGGCAGCTATTAAGTAACTGTACGCGGGCGACTTTACATAGACGCCCGACTGCTGATACGGCTCTACCCGTCAGACAATTCATTTTCGCGGCGTTTTCCCTCAATACTTGCAACCACATGTCGACTGCTGAGCCCCCTATGACCTTAGAACGGTTTAGGAGACAAACCGTAGATTGACACCGACTTCTAGACCCGAGGACGGTCTCTAGGTTGGAACAGACGAGTTGACTTCCGTTCATACATAACAGAGAGACGCTGTAGACGAAGCAACTCCGCCCACTCCGAGCTGCGTGCTACGGGGCGTGGACTCGGTCAAGAAAACACCCGGGTGGCCTTGGACCGCGCTGTGTCAGCCAGCCGAGAAGTGAGCACTCTAACTGGGGTTACAGGAGGTAAAAAAACTCGAGGAGAAAGTGAAACTAGCTCATCTCCCTACCCCTGGGCAGATGCACAACGGTCCCTTAGCCCTTATCGCAGACCGAGAACTCAAACTATCACAATACCGACCGCAACGTAGGTATGGATTTGGGACTGTGTTGAAGACCCATCCTGAGAAGGTAGAGACTGAACAGATACGGACAGATGAGACATCTGATCAATTCGAGAATGTGAACGGACCACGGGAATTGCTCCCGGATGAAAACAAATTTTAGTTAAACTGTTGCCATTTGTAGGAGGACATAAGTGGACGAGAGGAAACGTATCAACTGAGAGACATAGACGGATTTGTCTAGCTTTCGTACCTGGACGCCGGTTTATCACCAGACGTCGCGAATTCATTGACGACACAACGAGAGTCGTTACCGTAATCCTCAGACCGACCTTATTGACTCTGTAGTCGAGAACCCAGATAGAATTTGGCACTGAGAAATACCAGGGAATATCGAGTTTAGTCGTAATGGTCCCAGATTTGGACGTAGATGACTCTGGATCTCTGTCCTCACAGTAGTAGTAGTAAGTAGCGTTGAAAGACAAAGATGCGCACAGTGCGACGAAAACCAGGTCTAAATGCACGAAAACGACATGTACTAGGAGAAGAACGGTGTACGTACTGTACAGTTGGAGGAGACCGACCCGTGACGCGTAACGGTACTGGTGCCCCTGAAAGGTGTAGACATCGTACTGACGCTAGTCTACTGGGGGGGTAAGTCTACTACCGACACCGAAACAAACTACCCACGTAACCAACTACTCCCCTGAATACCCCACTCTACCCAAAACAGAAGACGGAAAACAATGAGGAGTTACGGTAAATGGGGGAGAGACTCCAGACAACGACGGAAAAAAATTAGTGACCTGACAGACCGGTCTAACTGACGAAAAAGGCTCGCAGTTTAGGAACAGATTGACTAGGAGAGTCGATCCTGACCACAGAGAGTTGGGGTGATGCTCGGCCAGAAATAATTGATGCAGCGCCCTCACGAGCATAAACGTCAAAAGACGAATCCCGTAATGTTACGTCATTACTTTCGCAGATGTCGGAGCAAACCAACCGACGTGAGAGACTAAACTTACAACGCGAGAAGTATATAGTGCAAGAAAGATCCGTGTTTCATGCAAAGTTCACACCGAAAATGGCTGTCACATGACGACAGATACCACGCAGCCTATTTTAGGTACTGGGGCCATTTTAGAGCAGACGAAGTAGCCGGGGTACGCGATCAGTCGCACAAGTGGACCAATCGAAGAACGATTCTACTCCAACGACCGGTCAGACTTAGAGAGCTTGGACGATAGGTAGCGAAGGGTCAGGACTCCGAAACGTTTCAGCCTTACGAAGTCCACAACCTACCACCTGCATCGCGAGCCTCCTCGCAATCGTAAGCGGACATTCGACAAAACAAAAACAACTCCTACACCTCCGACACGGCGGCCCGCGACGTCCGAAGGCAGCAGCAGATTGTAGAGCGGCGAATCGTCGGCAATTGAAAGGTGTGAGAGAAAGGTTGAAGTTGGATCGAGAAATGGCGACGGGTGAAGACTGGTGGTACAGCAACATTCGCATTTCATTATGCTGTCAAATCTCGTACCATAATGAAATAAGTCGAAAATGAGAGGTACAGTAAACCATCATCGTACTGGTCAGACAGGTGTAGCCAGAGAGCAATCGAGATAGGTTATTTCGTTTGTCGAATTGTGTGTGATAGGAAGTCCGTTTCACTGTGGTGGGAACACTGAGAACAACCGAAGAATACCGCCGAACGACAGAAATTATACTAATAAAGAGACGAGGAAACGTAAGGAGAGTCTAGAAGGTAGTCAGGTCAGNAAGACCAGACGAGCCGCTGCATTCTGGATGAGCTGCAGAGGTCGGATGGCACATGCAGGTAGACCAGCCAGGAGGGAGTTGCAGTAGTCTAGGCGTGAGATGACGAGAGCCTGGACCAGAACCTGCGTTGCTTTCTGGGTCGGCTGGGGACGTATCCTCCTGATGTTGTAAAGAGTGTTTCTGCAGCAGCGGGTTGTAGCAGCGATGTTTGCAGTGAAGGACAGGTTGTTATCTAGGGTCACACCCAGATTCCTTGCAGTCTGAGTCGGGGAAACAACAGAGGGGCCGATGTTGATTGTTAGGTCAAGAGTGGGACAATCTTTTCCAGGAAGGAAAAGCAGTTCAGTCTTGTCAAGGTTGAGCTTGAGGTGGTGAGCAGACATCCACTGAGAGATGTCTGCTAGACAAGCAGAGATGCGTGCGACGACCTGGTTGTCTGAGCGGGGAAAGGACAGAATTAGTTGGGTGTCGTCAGCATAGCAGTGGTATGAAAAACCATGCGGGCTAATGACTGATCCGAGCGAGTTTGTGTACAGAGAGAAGAGGAGGGGACCAAGAACAGAGCCCTGAGGGACCCCTGTAGTTAATTGACAAGGGTCGGACTTGGACCCTCTCCAAGTTACCCTGTAGGTGCGGTCTTTGAGGTATGAGGTGAGGAGGGAAAGTGCAGATAAATTACACCATCTCTCCAAACAATAAATGTTTTCAGATATGATGACTTTAAAGGCAAAAGTATAGGATTCACTTCATTTTATACTCGTCCAACGTCTGTAAAAATCGTTAGAATAGAGGTAGGAATGAAAAACAGGACTTTTTGATGTATGTTAGTGCCACTGAAGTTGAGATAGCTGCGAGAGTATGGGAAAAAATACAAATTTTGAGGAAATTAATTTTATTTAACCACCTGTAATGTCACTTGGGTATATTGTTAACTAATATAAATCATCTTAAAACTTCCCCAGTCAATTAGATTGAATCCCTCACTCTTAACCAAAGGGTTTCACTTAGGGACCGTCAATAGATTACATGTTGAATGATAACAATGTTATTTATTCATTTTTTATTACTGATGTGTCATGAATTGATTTCACACAAATATCCTATTAGATCATTTCAGATTTTTCAATGGCTTCTATGTCATGTGACCCAGTGACTCTAAGTCCATACCAGAAATTATACCTGCATTGGGCTAATAAAATAAACCTATTTGTATTAGTTTTTCATGATTCTTCTATTTATATGAATATTTGTATGATCTAAATAATGTTTATTTTATTGAAAAGGCTCTCATGTCATCTGATCAGGTGAATTAAAGTCTGCTCTCCCTCTATATCTCTCTGGTCAAGTAAAGAAGACATAAAAGCTTGGTGCATTATTCTACTTATTCCTTAATGTCTCACCAGTCTGTCTGCCAGGAAGTGACCACATCAGCCCATTAGCACACCAACACATGACTATGGCATCAAATGTCTGAGCTCATTGTCGCTCCATGCTGACATCACTGATCAATTAAAATTCATGAAAAACCATCCACAGCTGTTTTGCTCCAATTTTAGCCCTGGCTGAGACAACAGGGCGTTTTATCTTCGTCTGATGTCACTCCAGACGAAGCCGCCGCGTGAAGCCACACATATCTGACAATCCCGTCCTGTGTGAGAGTCTCAGAGGACCCAGTGACACGGGGAACAGACCGTCCCCTCTGTTCCCCGCTGACACTGGACCCCTCTCGCTCTGCCGTCAGCCCACTGCCTGTCAACACTGGCCCTCTTTGAGCCACGCAGTCAGACACAGGACAGGAGAGTGGGCAGGCTAATGTGTCTCTCGCTGTCTGACACACACACACATGTGCACACACACATGCTTCTGCTCCCACAAGCCTCAGTGATTTGACGTACACACCCAGGCCGGAGAATAGTTTTAGTGCTTGCAAATGCAGGGCCTTCCACTGTAACCTGTGATTATGGGAGCAGTTATGCCCTTCAGAGTTGCCATGAGCTTCTGAAAATAGACACCGCCAGCCACACAGTCTGGGCTGCTACTTTTAAAGAGAAATGATTTCTGCTCAGAATGAACACTGACAAAACAGATTACATTTGACATTGTAAAAGGTCCATAAAATAAAAGAGAGTGTAACTTTATTAAGGTGGACACACAGATAGTCAGAAAACTATTTAAAACACAACAGTGCTGCAAACACAACTTACTTAACGGAGAGGCATGCAGCTCTTACCATTTTTTCTTCTCCTACAGAGTCCAGACAACAGCTAGTTCCATGATGAGTGTGAATTGTGTTAATCCTTAAAGCAATGTCCACATAATTGTTTACGTCTTGCTCCTAGCTTTCTTCATTCACCTACTGAGTTCCTCTGCTATTTCCCTCCTCCCCATCCCGGTGCAGAGTTACAGAGGGGGAACCGCCGTCGGCACTGCCCTCTGAAATATGCAATTACATCTCCCCAAAGAACATGTTCCTTATTGACTCCCTCCCTTGGCAGATAAACCCTTCAACTTCAATTTCAAAAACACCCCGTATTAAGAGAGGAGTTGGGGGTTAAAGTCCAGATCCTCCTCAGAGAGTCCTTAAGTTGTATTCACTCCTACAGGGTTTACATTTCAGGATTCAAAGATCAGACGGACCACACCAGATGATCAGAGGAGGCTGCAGACCCCTTAAATGCTCCTTAGCGTTGGTAATACAGACACATCCAAGGTGGAAATACAAATAAGTGTAGGAGTAAGGAGATGGAAAAGACCTCTGACTTCCTGCTCTGATGTAACAGATTTGAAAACGGGTATTTCCGATCTGGAAAACTCTTTATGATAATATGACAAAGTATAGATGATTATATTGTGTCTACTGTGCTTTAAACATCCATGATGATGGGATAGAGAAACACCAAGATCCACAGGAAGTGGGCGAACACGTGTGAGCCATCTTTCCAGAAGTCCCACAGGAACGACTTGGAACTATTATACAGTCAGAGAGAAAGAGAGAGTGGGAGAAAGACTCCACTATTGATCTCTCAAGGCTTTTCCCATGGTCGGCGGCCAGAGAGGAGATGGAGGAAGTGAAGGAGATGATGAGTCACTGAGGAGAATAAAAACAAACAAGAGGCAAACTAAGTAACCAGATGGACTTGGAGCAGTGATGATGTGGAGGTTACAGCTGAGGGGGTGAAACATTCCTGCATGTCATTTAAATGTGGATTTTAAATCTACACTAGTCAATCTAGCGAAAGCAAGCAAGTAACATTATTATAACAAATGGAGGAGGATACAAGTTCCCCGTTACAAGAGTATTTGCTCACTGCAGCGTCAGCATGTATGCTTTACTGATCGCACTGATGTGAGGATTTCTTCTGGTTCTTGAGTCATGTGTCTGGTTCAGAATGTAGAGTTTTTCGTACACTCTTTCATACTGTCTAAAGCTGTGGAGCAGAAGGATGCCCTGACATGACGGTAGACAGGTGGTCAAGTTACTCGAGTAGCCTGTGGGTCATTTGGGAGTCTCCAAACATCCCAGTCTTCTGCTAGTCTAATGCACTCGACCACCACTTTCCCCAGACACCTTGTTATGTCCGTCAGCCCTTCACCCCGTGGCTTTCCTGCACCTCGTCTTTCCTCGGATGCCCAGTGCATGTTGGTATTTTGCCTTTGACCTCTTTGTTTTTTAAATGTGTACGAACCTCTGTTACATCAATTTGCGAATCACGTCAAGCCTTTCACCTCTACTAACTGGTTAAAAAACCGTCTCCACCACACAACTTTAGGATCCCTGAGCTGTGTGTTGTGGGGTGAGTGGACACCCAGCAGGACTAAAAACAAAACCTCTCAAAGGGTGGATGTTTTCCCTCATACCTCTGGGAAACCAAACCTGGAGAGGAGATCAGAATCACCATGGAAACAGCTGAATGAAACCCGCCACAGACAGGTGGAAGCATGCTCAAAATGCTTTGGCAGGATACAGTCAGAGACGCAGATAACATTCCCTAAAGTTGAAGAATGTGTAAAAGTCTAATGAGAAACAGATTTAGCTTTCCTTCTCGCATTAGTCCAGGTAACAGGGACTTCAGTGCCCTGAAACCCTGTCTGCACTTCCTCTCAGGAGTGCACACATCCTCCTTCTTCCGCTAACATTGACAGGCCATAACATGACCTCTTGACCCGTAACTGAATTGTGGAGCTTGTTGTGGCTTGGAGGAATGCTGCATGAATGTGAGACTCAAATCAGGATAAGAAAGACACTCATCCGGAGGCAGCAGTGTGATGACAGTCTGATTCACAGATGAGTTATACAGATTATCATCATCTACAAAGAAAGACCCAGATATTTGGAGGACATTGGTGTCACGTTTTTGCAACAGGAAAGAAAACAATGCTGTTATTCAGCCACAAATGAACGATGTGTGCACATGAATGCCATTTCAATCTTCTTATCTGATTCAACACCCATATTCTCATATATTGCATCCATCACACAGTACAGAGATCCAACTTGTGTCATGAGATCAGCCTTAAACCACCTCGATGGAGCACTCTCCCAGACAGACAAGAGCAAAAACTAAGAACAGAAATCTGTGCATATTAAGATTTTATTTTCCTTTTTATCCTCTGCCTACTTTTTTCTGTCTCAACCAAGACAATGCACATGCAAACAAGTCATAATCATATGGCATATTTGACCTGTTTCCCTTGTTACACAGAAATTAGATTAGAGTAGATATACATAATATATATAAATGCATCACATTGCAGGGTTTTTAGGCACTTTAAAGTAAAAAATCTACTCACCGAGGCTTGTGTTTACCTCACACTCTTGTCAGGTGAAATACTGGACCAGTCTATAACTCCAACTACATTTCTGGACGCGTGAGCCCTGAAGGCAGCCGGATCTCACACACATAAAAATGCCCATTCAGAGAAGGCTGGGCTTGGCTCCTAAACTCTCTTTTCCACCTGCTCTGTAGTGGTGAAGTTATACATTGGCACGCAATAAGGATAATGAATGTATGTGACCTCTCTCACACACGTTGAGTGGGTCGTGTCAGGCTGAAAACCATGGGTGTAAACTGCCACAATAGCTCCATTATCTCTTTCTCTCTCCCACTCTCTCTGCTTCTCGTTGCACCACACACACACACACACACACACACACACACACACACACACACACACACACACACACACACACACACACACGCTCAAGCAAACATTTTTGTTTCTCATTACCAGAGCTGGCGATGAACATCTTCTTGTCTGTGGGATGGTTCAGTCCAAAGATTAGAAACACAGCAGACGAGGCGTCTTCCCAAGTGTTCATGAGAAAAAGTCTCTCTCCTAGAGGATGGAAATATGCTGTCAGCTCTTCCCTGCTGTTGGGACAGTTTCAAGTGAAACAGTCAGATCCTCCACACACACGTTTCTGCCGGGTCCACCCCTCTGCCCGGCCCTTTTCCCTCTAACCACTTATCATTTATTTTTCGCATTCTTTCTTACATCCCCCTGTGATTCCCACAAGCTAGATGTGTTCTCTTCTCAGATGTACAGACTGTACCTAATAAAAAGGGCCTGTTTTCCTCTCCGCATTTATTTGATTCTTACATTGCCCCGTGATTCCCACAAGTTAGATTTGTTCTCTTCTCAAATGTACAGACTGTACCCAGTATACACTTGAACTCCTTAACTCCCTTCAGGTTACTTTTTTGTTCCTTTCATTAGTCCATTAGCTGTAATTAACAAAACATGGAAAAGCAGTCAAGATGACATCACTTCAGACTCATGAAGGGATAGATTGAGAGATGCACAAGTGACCGATTTTCTCTCAAGTCAACAATGTCTGTCACTTTACAGAAAGTAGTTCCTGCCTTAAATTACATATATATTGTAAAACCACAGAGAAAGCAGAGGATAACTGAAAAAACCTCAGCATATCTGTTTGTTTTCCACTTACAGCTGAGAGGAGAAGGTTCATTTAGAGCCGTTGACAGAGTGCCAATCAGGAAATTATAGTTATCACACAGGGTTTTTTCCTCACAGGCTGGAATTTTTTGCCCGGCTGTCGGTGTTGGACACGTTGTCAAGGCCTGAGTAATTGGTTCAGCCTGTCCTGGGCTCAGTTCAAACCCGATGCGTCATGCTGCTTTTGCCACTAATAAAACAGTGGAAGCTGACAGAAATACCTGCAGGCTCTCCCCCTTCTTTGCCTAATGGCTTTGGGTGATTATTTTAGGTGGATATGTCTGAAACGTAATGGCTAAAACAAGCAATTACCACCACAGATCACCGCTCCTGTTAGCAACCAAATCCCACACGCAGAAAGTGTGACTGCTAAGAGGAGTAATGGATCCTAAAGATGGTCAAACACTTCACTATTTTATGTCGAGCAGAGAACATCCGCACACATGTTGAATATCTGTTGGAAAAATAAGCGCAGTGAGCTGTCTTCAATTGTTATTAAATGGAAACACACATGGGCATTGACACATCACATATCAGAGATTTTCGGGCATGAAACTGTTGACCCCTGGTGGCAAAGCCAGTGCAGTTCACCCCCAACATTATTGTTCTGACATGTCTGATTGGATTAACTGTCTCAGTGTCTGTGCAACTCTTGGATATATTGGTAGTCCAATCACTGTGCTGCATTTGAACAATGTTACAGAAGTATTACTTTTATTTTGATCTGCTTTGTTGACAGTTGGGAGTTTTTTCTCTTTTGGGGTTTACCCCTATCCTGGTCAAATGTAACCACATCTCCACTGGACAAATATTGTAAACCTAAAGCCTTCTACAACACAAATGTACATGGAGCTAACAATTAAGGTTTTATAATGTATATTGGTATTGTATGAATTTCTTAATTAACAACATGATGTACTTGAACTTTATCCAAATGCTTCTTTGAGCCCTTTTTCTCATACAGAACTGTTATTGCTTGAATTCGGATTTATTTCTCAATTTCTATCCCGAGGTTTGTATTTAGGACTATACAGGGTAAATGAATGTGTTAAATCGTGGGAGCCAACAGTAAATGTGTTATAAGGAATATATAAATTGGTAATGTATGGTTTTTATGTATTTTAACTTGATCTAAATGCTTCTTTCGCCTTTCTAATACAGAACTGCTCTTGCTTAAATTCTGATTTATTGAACAATTTCTAACCCAAAGTTTGGATTTAGGATTATATGGGTTAAAATAACTATGCCACATGTACTTTATCAGATGTCACTGTGCTCCTGCTTGTAAACTGTCTGTGGATGTTTGCATCTTCAGTTGTAAATAAGGAAACACCTGGAGCTGCAAGCCGAACGAGCCGTTACTGCTTTATGCAGAAGTTTACCGCACAGATGCACAAGCTGCAGCACGACATATTTAGCTGAGGACATCTGTTTGAGCAAACAAAGTCAGGGAAGAGAAAGTGCCCAAATTCTAAAAGTTAAATGTAGCTTTTTAACATACCTGCAGTGGTCAGCTTGAGTACTCCCAGCTACAGCTAATATATATATACACAGCTGTGTTCTTATTTATTTCTGGCTAAATATCAGCATAAATAACCACAGAAACTATGGTTTAGTGTTTGACACTATGAATAAATGTAAGATACGTGTTTTTAAGTGTACACATTATGGGAATCATGGATTACTCTATGACTTAGACTATTTACTATGCTTTTAGCAAATAATAAATTTGACCTGCAGTTTAATGCACTGCAGGGTTGGTTCATTTTATTGCAGTTCAACTTAAAACTGAGGATATTAAAATCAGACTTCCACAAAAGGTTCAGTCATGCTGGAATCAACCAGATGAACAGCACGCTGCAGCTTGTGTAGCAGCTTCCGATAACGTTGCAACCCTTGATAGTGCATTTTAGTAATTCCTAAAAATAGTTAAGTTTATTCCTCAACATGTGAATGTCCTGCTGAATAAGCACTATTGTTTAGAAAACTAGGTGGTTACTGTAAGCCTTGGGGTTGAAAGATGAACACTAGAAATCAGTAACTTTGATGATGTGGACTGATGATGTGGACACTGTAAGGATAGCTAGTGTTACATTAAGTCAACGGCTAACTTTCTCTCACATAATTAGCAAACAGTTAGCATGAAACATTAGTTAGCCTAACGTTGAACCACAACAGTGCCAATTACTTTAACAAAACAATTCTTTATTAAATAAAATGAGAAAAGGTAAACATTTCAGGAACAATCGCTCTCTGGGTGAGAAGTGGGTGGCCCTTAAAAGGGCCTTTGGGGTAATAGTTATTAGCCAGAAAGCTAATACTCTTGGGACTGGGATGAGGCCTTCTTTCCCGCCTTGCCGGAGCTCGCGGCAGCTTGGCTGGTCTTCTTGGGGAGCAGGACGGCCTGGATGTTGGGCAGGACGCCGCCCTGTGCGATGGTCACTCCGCCGAGCAGCTTGTTAAGCTCCTCGTCGTTGCGGACAGCCAGCTGGAGGTGACGAGGGATGATGCGGCTCTTCTTGTTGTCTCTAGCGGCGTTGCCAGCCAGCTCCAGGATCTCGGCGGTGAGGTACTCCAGCACGGCGGCCAGGTACACGGGGGCTCCGGCGCCGACTCGCTCAGCGTAGTTTCCCTTGCGGAGGAGTCGGTGGACACGGCCTACTGGAAACTGCAGACCGGCACGGGAGCTTCGTGTCTTAGCCTTAGCACGGGCCTTTCCTCCGGTTTTCCCTCTTCCAGACATTGTTGTGTTTATCCTCGGCAAGGTAAAACTGCAATCGTAGTCGTACGTTGATGTGGAAGATAATCGCACAACCTGGATATAAACCCCAAGCTTGGTCCCGCCTTAGGACGTGATTGGCTCTTGGAATAAACATAGTCAAGTATGATTGGCTTTGAGAGATCACAAGGGACCGGAAGTCACTGACGATTGGCGTATCTTCTCTGAAGTCAACAAATCACCATGGGCCTTGTAGTTGAAGCTAAAGTGATTGGCTGTTGTTTTCCCTGCTTGATGTGAGTGGGTCCTGTTGAAAAGAGGCGTATAATAAAGACCAATCGGGTGTCTTCCCTCCAGCTTTAAGTTTTTTGGCGCTTTAATGAATGCTGCAGTAAAAGTAAAGCAAATCGTTTTCATGAACTTTGGTGGCATGAGAAAATTGAACACCTGAAAAGAGTCAAAAACTCATACAGTCATGGGCAGATCTAAAATCAGTAGGTACTTGTTATGACATTGTAGGCTATTTTTGTATTTAAAGTAACTCTACACAACTACATTTTGTAAACTATTTACACTTACACCAGAAAACAAATAACTTTAACATTACAAAAGTATTTGGCACCTCCTGAAAAATAAAATAAATATTCAGTAGACATTTAGTGAAGCTTCAAAAATAATTTATTTGCAATAAATTAAACATTTCAAATATAACATCAGAAATCATACATATCTTAGATTTTGCAGCTGCTTCATGTTAAACATTCCAGCCATATTTATATAATGTGCCTTCAGACAATAAAATTGCTTTGTTCGTTTATTCAGTGTCTTGAATTGTTGTTTTGTAAAGTACACGATCAGTTTGACAGCAGTAGCTTCACCTATGTGATCCCCTTTTCATATCTATTATTTTATTAGTGCAAATAACCCTGATTTGGTTGCTCTGAAGTCCCAAAATTAATGCAGTCAGTTGAATTGTTATCAGAAAAATATATGGCCAAAAAAACATGTACATTTTTACATGCTGGTTGGGGTTATGTTTTCCTTTAGGTGTAGGTTTACTAATGTCTAGTTGCTAGAAGTCTTCTAGCCCTGAGTATGTCCTCTCTACCTATCCGCTTGTCGTGAAATCACATCCATCTTTTTAAAACCTTTCCAAAGACCTTTTCTTAGTCTAAAGTCTGTTGCGTGTTTTTCACTCATTTGAGACTGACCTTTATTTAAAATGAATCACTCCGATAATGCTCCTGAATATATAATACAGAATGTGTTGCTATGATTACTTAACCTATGTGAGGAATTTTGCACAATATACAGTATGCAGTCTTACTGCAAATTATTGACCATTATTGCTATAATGAAATGTCCACATCAACTGAATTCACTATGATATACTCGTATATTTTACTTAATCGGAGTTAAGAGTAGCCGCAAGGAGAGAAATACCTGAACATATATTATTTACTGACAGAATTTATATCAAACTTATTGCCCTGCTTGAGTCTGCTCGAGAACCTTGCTAGTTGAAGTTTCACAAGCAAACGGAAAAGCATTATATGTTTTATGTTCCACAGAAAGTACCTTTATAAAAGAAAAGTACAATAAAAGGATATTTTCTTATCAGATACAACATTGAACAACCTTTTAAAACCAATGTGAAAGCAATTAAGAATTGACTTACTAGATTATGACCGATTTATTTTTATTTTACTGAAACTATGGGCTTAAATCAACACAGAAATGGCTTTATTTTACAGTGTGAAGAAACTACGATGACTTTTCATTTTTTGGGGGGTAAAATAAATAGCACTTGTTTCACGAGAACCACATAATGAATGACTGTTATACATCCAGGGAATTGTACACGTGCTGATAGAAAAAACGGTCTCAAGTGCAATCAAATGCATCATACTGGCTTTTTTTTATATCAATAAATAGCTTAGAGCATTTTCAGCATTGGTCACAATCAAACACTCACATTTCATCGTGACTTCTCCTCATCAAGCAGCAGATTTCTCCTCAAAAGAAAAAGAATCACATTTAAACCTCAGTGGTGTGAATAACCATGCCTTCTGTCCCGAAGGTGCAATCATTTATCTCCACAGGAAAGTCCTCCCAGAGGTATCCTCCTTTCAAGACGTCCAGGTGCCGACCCACCAGGGGTGTTCAGTCCGTCCAAAAACAGGTTGATGATCAGTTATCCAGTGAGCTCGCCCCTCCATTGGTATCTTTGCCTTTTGATTTGCCCGATGAGCGGAAAGAGAAGCGTTTTATCAGACGCCGAGAGAAGCTGCCAGACTTTTTCCGGTTGATAGTTGCAGCGGCAGCAAAGTTATTGCCCATGTTGGAGATGTCTTCGTGGGATTGGCTGAGGCTGGACTCCTTCTCCCGATGTCTTCTGCGGAACAACAGCTTCGTCCCACTTTGGAGAAAGCCCACTAAAGGAAGCAGACAGATTTGTCAATGTATTTAATCCTCAGTTACAACATTCGGGCTATAGAGAAAAACGCTAACCAATCACATAACTACTGGTTTAATAAATTAATGTAAATGAGCTCTGATAATTCAATTGAGCACAGATCCACTTAATACCACGTGGGTCTGGCTGTGTTCATTCTGCAGCACAGCATCCAGGGGGCAGCAGAGAGTGTGTCATGCTATATTGCCTTTCAATCTGTCATAGCACAAATTAAGTTTTTATGTGATGCTGGGTTAAAATCGATTTGTAATATGTAATAAACTAGTATTGAGGGAAGAAAAATACATGGAGAGAAATAGTCTAAATCTATTGAAATGAGGCTCTAATGACGAGAAATGTGGCAACATGCAATCATGACAGGTGCAAAAACCTAATTAGAATAGCTAAAACATGCGTCTACACTTATTAGAAGGCATTAATGAACAATATTGGTAGAAACTGGTTCTCTAATGTTTTCAGTGCGCAGACCAAGCAGCAGACTATGACCCCCGTGTTACCTTTATGGTCCTTGAGGCTGCAGGTCTCCAAGGCCCCAGCCGAACCAGTATCCGACTCCACATCGTCCACAGAGGGGCGCTCCGACACATCAGAAGGTGTGGTCTCATCGGTCTCCTGGTTTTGCCCCGCCCCGTAATGGTTGCCATGCATCGCTGCGTCCATGGCTGCAGCGTAGCCGCTCGATAACGCTGAGTCATCTTCTGAGAGGGGAACCTGCCGAGGGTTGGATATTGACTCAGATTATGCCCTTTTAGAAATGTGAGCATAAATAATGAATGGATGATAGGAGTGAGGGATGTGTGTAACTGATTGTTGGACCTGGAACACTGCTTATTATGAATACTTGAAATATATCACGGACACTTAAAATCGTGACACATACCAGTGAATTTTGTGTGAAGGATAGCCTCTTTTCTGCAGTCTTTCAGGCAAAACAAATCAGGTCAGAGGACTCTAATTCCCCTATAATGTGGGGCTATGGGCTAAATTTAGATCAAACTCATTTTGCCTGGCTCCATGTCATTCCTTAAAGGTAGGTTTCGCAAACTTTGTCAATGACTCATTTACTGAAGAGAAGTTAGGTAAATCATCTACAAACAATACCATGTTGATATATGTTCACAAAATAGCTCTAAAAGAAAGAAACTGTCTTGTTTTTATTTTTGGCACTTATTCAACAACCACTACATTTGACACAGTCTCCATCCTCTGACCTTTGACACGCCTGAGATGATCAGCGTGCTCCTCCTCGTTGGCGTCTTCCGTGCTACTTTGCCGGCGGACTCTGTCAGCTGCCGGATGGCCGTCTCTGCAACAGGATCCAGGCCATTAGACAGGCGGCTGCTCTCTGAGCAACAAGAGCACACACATGTAAATCAGCACTATACTAGTACAAAGGCGAAATAGAGGTTCTCACAAAAGGGGGAGCATTATTACAATGAATTTTGTTCCGTTTTTGTGTCTAAGAAAATTCAAATATGTAAGTAAATGATCAAACATTGTCTTCTATGTCTGTCAGACATTTCTGCAAGTCCTTTTTCTGTGAAACCACATTAAGGTTTTGATCAGGAGAGAAGTGTGCTGTGAAGTGCATTCCTGTCATCTCCTGTTACGCTGCAGCCTGCTGCCTATCCTACTTTGCATTGTTATGTAAAACCGTGTCAGTCCTTTCTCAAACTCACTGCTGAGGTTGGGGCTGGGGCTGCCGTCTGTCAGGATGGTGGCTTTCTTCTCCGTCACCTCCACCTTAGACGGCGAGCGCAAAGGGGATTCACCTGAAATCACAACCATGTTATCTCAATTGTTTTCTCTACATTATGTATAGCTTCTCGTACAACCATCCCAGCACAATGCTATAGATTACTCTGTTTATCTACCTGGACTGCGGTCCAGTTTGAGTCGCGACTGGATGGTGGTGACCGTGGTTACGATGGTTCCATCCGGCATGATGGTTCGGTCCACGTCGACTTTCTTACTCGGGGTGAGGGAGGAACCAAGTGGCAAAGCATTGTGGGGGCTGCGTGGCTCTTCTGTTTCCACATAAACCAGCTAGAGGAGGGAGAAAAATTGATTTTGCTAATGAAGTGTAAAGTGTGGATGGGATTTAAATAGAAATCTGGACCTGCAGGGGACATTTTAGACGAGTAATCAGTTCAGGTATAACAGGTTGTAGGAGGACAACAGAAATGTTATCGTGCAGAGAAGAAGCAGACGTTTTGTTATCTTTGAAGAAATATGTAAATGTCAAGTTGAACGGGAAAAATGCCAGAAGAGATGTGAGACAATGGACTTTGTATCAGCTGTTATACAACACTGCCTCTCCCTTTGTGTTGAAGCTCTGTTTCATCCCAGCTCGCTTGTTGTTAGATAATAAAAGTGTGATGTAACTGTGCACTTCAAAAGCTGGAGATCGGCTTTGAAAGAGTTTTGACAGAAATGAGCTGCATCTTGTCCCTCACCTCTGCTGTGATGGTGGCGTGTGGAGCCAAGCCATGTCCGGGGCTGATGGACAGCGTGTGTTGTCCGGTGGGAGCTTTACACCGGAGGTCCAGAGGGATGGAGGCGTGGCCGGGCAGGAACTCTATCCAGATTTAAAACAAAACAACGTTTATTTGCACAAACAACATGAAAACCGTTTTTTTCACTGTAGTTCTGGAGACACAATGGGAGAGTATCCTGGCATTTAGAAAAACCGCTTACAGTTACAGTAAAGCCTGCCAACATTGCATTTCAGGCCTCATCGATTTTGCTTTAGCAGTTAAACATTCCTGCTGATCAGGTTCCTGAGCAGCAGCCAACACTAAATTGCTATCGTGCAATGCCTTACGTTCCCTTTTGCCGTTCCGCTCCAGGAGTCTGACTCTCAGCTCTTTGGTCTCCAGACCCACCTCCCTTAGACACACAGGGAACAACTGTGTTAGATCTCAAGGGAAAGCTGACTGTGCACAAATGAATTCATTTGGAAAATGTAAAAAATCTATAACGAAAACATTTGTATCCATTTACAAGTAACAGTCATATTATGTATTAAACGTATTGATAAAGCGAGTATTCCTCATCATGTGTGGGTGTAGTTTGGTCATATTTGATTGACAGTAAAGCAATCAAATTCTTATTCAGATTTTCCTCAACCTTGTTTTCTGCACATTTATGTATTTTGTTTATTTGACAGGGACGTTGCAAATTAATCGACATTTCTGTGCCACGTTAGATAAGAGGTTGCTTCTCATCTGTAGTCCCTGTCACATAATAAAGCATATCCCCTCATTCAAATTAGCATGAAAATCAGAGAGATAAAAAATAATTAGAACAACATCTCTCGTGCAACATAAACAAAAGTGTTCTGGCCGATTGATAGGATACACGTTTAGGGATTTCGATGTTCGATCACAGCAGCCATCTTACAGAGCGATTTCTTCACTCCACTCCAGCGGGGCGTTGGAGTTTCCGGGTGCGGACAGGAAGCGGGTGGTCCTCTCTGTGGACGGGGGGTCCAGGCTCAGGACACAGCATAGCTCCCCTGATCTGGACCACTGACCTGCGTGCACACAGCGAGACAGTGAGCAATCTGCAGGAGGCCGGGCGGGAAGGATCTAACGCTGAGGGAAAATATCTGACCTTTACTTAAGGTCGCCGTGAGCTGCCGGAGCAAGAGCCGTCTCACTACGACACTCTGGGGTACAGAGTTCAATCCCACTGATGGATGGTCCATGGGGGCCTGGGAGCGTGAGTAAAAAAGGTACAAAATCTATCACACAGCATCGAGTCATGGCAATTTATTTATTGTTTGTGTTTGTCTTACTGCTCCAAAGGAAGCAAAAGAGACATATTTCTCACCGAAGGACTGGACACACAGGCTTTCAGGTTGAGAACCATGGCAGGCTGAGCGCTGAACAGCGTGTCCTCGATCAGTCCTTTAATCGTGTCCAGGTCCGCCCGGCCCTCCGTGCCCTGACACAAACAACAAACAGCTGATTAGTATTTGTCAACAAACTCATGTATGGACTAAACTTTTTTATACATTTCTTGCCTGATACTATCTTACGTTATCCAGTAGGAACAAATAGAACAGTGCTGTTTATTGTTGCATAATAAAAAAAATGCATTTTTTTTAATTTATCTAACCAATCCCCATTTTCAATACCAATGCTGGCTTGGATACGTATTGTAAACCAGTGGTTCCCAACCTGGGGGGCGCGTCATGATTTGAGGCCAAATATCATATTTAACAGTAAGTATTTTTTTTTTTCCTTTTACATATAATTGTAAAGCAATACATGATTGTCACTAAAAGCCTTGTCTCTACATTACAATAAAATATTAAAAATAATTGATTAATTAATTTGAATAAGAATTCAAGTTAGTAGCTATTAAAGGCATAAAAAGACAGAAATGTATAATTCTTTCTTTAATAGAAATGTTTCTTCTGCCCGTAAAGTGTCCAAACCAGGCATTTTCTGGATAAGCCCATTTTTAAAACATAGTCATTGTCCATGCCAGTTTCAGTTGGATTATTTGTCACAGTTGCTCCGATCAGATAGGTCTCCTCCATTTTGTAGTTTATTTAGGACTTTTGAATCCACATAAACACATCGGCAAATTCCGGCTTACTTTGAGCATGTGTTTTAAACAGTTTAATCCCTTTGTGAATTGTTTC